GTCTTGGATAGTGAGGGTTGGCGGGAAAATGGGAGTGTTCCAGTTGTAAAAGGAAGTCTCCATTTTCTTTTCCCAAGAGCTGGAGGAGCCAGGCAATGTGTCACGAAGGACATTCTGCCTTCTCTTGCTCCAAACCAAACTGTCACTGTTTTGTTTTCTTTCTGTACTGCTCCATCGCTGCCCCTTCCCTTAAAAAAAAAAAATCCCCTGCAGCTTCCAGGAGGCTTAAGAAGAGAGGTCCAGATTGAGCAACCTGCATTTCTGCAGGGCTGCTCAGCTGCTAACAAATGGCTCTGCTTTGACATCACCTCTCAAATTGTCTGGGGAAAGCTGTCAGTTTCTGGCTTGCTTCCTGGCAGAAGGATGGCTTCGAGCTGACTTCACAGTCGCTGTGGATCTGTCCACAAGCCTTGGATTTGCTGCAGGCTGACAAGGCAGCCTCTTCTCCTGGCCTTGCTCATGTCACATCTCATCACCTGGCAACCAGGAGACACACACACGCACAAACACACTGGTGACAAGCTGGTGACAAAGCAGCATAAAGGATGTCCAATGCACACCCAGTCCTGGTGGTTCTCTCTCCCTCTTTTCCTCTTTTCAGGTTTCTGTTGAACATCTCTTCCTAACATGATGCTTGGCCTGGTTCTTTCCTAGTGGGGAGTCTCCAGTACTGCTTCGGATTTTTTAGAAAACAACAAATAGGGTGACTTTTAATGGATAATGTAATTTGTGAGTTTAGTCCCATCACACCAAAAAGCAGGTGAAATCATGCCAAAGTCATGTTTCAACTTGCCATTTCAAATCAGAACGGTGCTCGGCATCCAAACATCCTGAACCCCACCCTGAGTTGGTTGAGGGTATCTTGAGAGATGGGCAAATCTCTGCCAAAAAAGGGCAAAGTCTTGTTTCTTTTTTTTTTCCCATAGATATTTATTAAGATTTTCAGAATATTACAAAATGCAAAAAAGAAAAAAAGAAAAATACAAATCAAAAATAGTTAAAAACAATTCCATCTTCCTTTACTTAACTTTCATTTGCTTATTTCCCGGACTTCCTCACCCCTCCCTTTCCTGTATTCCAATTCAATTTGTTGATTCAGCAAATCCTTCCCCACTTTATTTATTCTAATCTTTCATTACATTACCTTACTCTATTTTCCTCATTATCTTATAAAAAGCCTTTTAATTCAAAACCTAATCTTATTTTTAATAACTTCTCATAACCATTATATTCTTTCCTAGTCCTTTAAAGCTTTTATACTAAAGCCAAGCAATTTCGTTTCAAACATCCTTCTGACATTCATCAGTTATGTAAAACAGTCCTAGTCTCGGAAAGTCCACATAACCTTGCTCAGGGGGGTCAATCCAACCCCCCATTTCCAGTCCAGTCCAAACTTTATCTTTCCGAGTCTGATTTTTTCGAAGATCAGTTGCCAAATCCAAAGACTCATGTTCCTGCAGGGAACCTCCATCTCTGGCTCCATTTCTGACTCCCCAAGTTCAGCAGAATCCTCTTCTTTCATCTGTTCTGTCAAGGCACACTCCTGGTTTGGTTCCTGGGTAGGCTCCATACCTTTTCCTACTGCCTGTCCAAAATTTCCTGCTGTCTGCTTAAGATTTCCAACCAAGTCAGTCATCAAATTCATTCCTTCATGTAACTCTTCCAATAGAGCATTTGTTTTGTAAAAAGCGCACAACAACATTTCTAAATGCATTGTCCTTCAAGGTCACCAGTCAGTTCCCACGGGTTATACTGTAGCGGCTGGAAATTCCCTAGAATTAGTTACAGTTTCACAGTCTCCCTCTAGGGGGAAAACTTCTGTTACAGATCCAACCCCAGAGTTTCTTTTTTTTTCTCTCCCTTTTTCTTTTAGATACTTTGTCAATCGTTGTTATTTTAAAATGCGAAAGAAAACAGTGGAATCACAATGTTTCTCTTCTTTTAACTATCTGTCAAACGACTTCTGCTTCTGGTCAATGAGCTTCAAACGTCAGTCCTGACACCCCGCTCCCAGGTCAGGACGGTGGAAAATTACTTTGCTTTAAACTTACTTCTGCAGGTTAAAACAGTCCAAAGAAAGCTCCCCCTTCTCCTCCTGCTGCCGAAGGGGGGGGGGGGTTCAACTATTTTAGATGATGAAATCCACTCATTTAATAGTAATTTTCAAAGCTTTAGTTTACTTTGTCTTTGCTTTGTTCAGTCTACAAGGAAACGGAAGGCTGACTTCCTGTTTAGACCTTCCCGTTTCAGTACCAAATTATAGTAAATTTTTAATTCCGATTCCTTTCTTTTCCCAATTCCTTATTTATAGTCCAATTTTTCAAAGTTTAGGTACTCACAGTGATTATTTTTAAAGTCCAAATTGTCCCAAAAAGAAGGCAGCGCTCTCCGGCAATGGCTATGCGGCTTCGCTCCACGGAAAGAGCACTTGACTCTCAGCACCGCGCCACTTCCCCCTCTTCGCTTCGGAGCCCGTTAGTGGGTTCCTTTGCGGGTTGGGGGGCGCTAAGGGTGCCCGCCGAGTCCCATGGTCACAGGCTTCATCCGCCTGTGATTTTTTAAAGGGTCCCCGCTTCGCCGTAGCGGAAAGGACCCGTTTCGTGCAGAGCTTGTCCCTCCAGTTCAGAGGGAGTCCGCCATTGCCGATGGCGCCACCCCGGAAGTCCTAGGGCAAAGTCTTGTTTCAGTCTCGATTCAAAATGGCAGTTGGCATCTAAACATCAGCAACAGCTGCCACCCTCACCTCAGGAATCCTTGCGAGGCAGCTGAGCCTGTAGAGGACAGATGGAAAGACGCCCTTTCCAAAATATAGAGAAGGTTTTAGAAATTCCTATAAACTGCTCTTCATCCACAAATAGATTTTCAGGGTGGTATACAAATGAACTTCAAAATTCCAAAAACCAACTATACAATGAAATTAAAAGGAATTAGACACATTCAATCAGCTAAAACAATACCATAATTACAACTGCCCAGGCAAATAGAAAGGCACCGTGTTGATGAAGGGGCTGGACTAATTGACCCTTTGCCAATGTCCCTTTGGAGGGCATCCATCCCAAAGCTGGGAATGTCACTGCAAAAAAGATCCCCTCACTCTTTTGTACATAAAATCAGAGAGCTGGAAGGGACCCTGAGGATCATCTAGTCCAACCCCCTGCAATGCAGGAATATGGAGCTGCCCTTTACGGGAATTGAACCTGCAACCTCAGCATTCTCAGCACCACTCTCTAAACAACTGAACTATGCAGCTGATGTGCTTTTCCCCAAGGAGAAACACAAAGAAGGAGCCATGACTAATGTAGTGAACAGGCAGATTGATTCAGGAAGAGGGTGTTAATTCACGTATTTGGGCCCTGGGCTGTTACTTGTTTAGCACTTTAAAATGTAATCATCAGCACTTTGAACTGTGCTTGGAAGTGAACCAGGAGCCCCTGTAGCTCCTTAGAATGGAAGTCACATGGGACACTTTGGGGGATCCTACTAAAATTCTGGCAAATGGGTTTTGTAGCAGTTGAAGCTTCTGGACTGTTCTCAACGGCAGCCTCATACAGAATGCATCATAACCGTGGTTCCCAAACTTTCTCAGAACACCACCCCCTTGGTTCCATGAACCCATCCCAGGGCCCTCCACCCTGCCCTATAAAAATACTATTCAGAACAAAAGTTTGCATGAGCCACTCAGAAAGGTCAGAACAAAATAACATTCAAAACAATTGAACATTTGTTCAAAATCCAATTAAAACTATTTAGTTTAATTAATTCAATGAAAACAATGAACTTGTTCTGATGATACCAGCACACATGGGGAGGAGGAACTGGGGGTAAAAACATGTGCCTTAGTGAAACCTCATATTAAAGAAAATTGCTTTGTGTATACCTTGTGTATACAAATGTGTATACTAAAGGAAATGCACACACAAATACCTATGAATTGTCAGGTGGAGAAACTGAGAGGAACAAATTCATCCATCCCCGGTTATTAAGCTATTTGTTTGAAAGGTTTATAGCTTATTATTCAATGATACCGTTACTTAAAAGTGGATGTTGTAAAAACAGCTAAATCAATAAAAACAGACAGCAAACCCATCAAGATATAAACAGAGATGGCACGGAAGGCTTCAAAACAATTAAAACCATTTTTTAAATTACTTAAAAAGGTAAAGGTAAAGGACCCCTGACAGTTAAGTCCAGTCGCAAATGACTCTGGGGTTGCGGTGCTCATCTCGCTTTACTGGCCGAGGGAGCCAACGTTTGTCCACAGACAGTTTTTCCGGGTCATGTGGCCAGCATAACTAAGCAGTGCACGGAAATGCTGTTTACCTTCCCGCCAGAGCGCTACCTATTTATCTACTTGCACTTTGACGTGCTTTCGAACTGCTAGGTTGGCAGGAGTTGGGACCGAGCAACGGGAGCTCACCCCGTCATGGAGATTTGAACCACTGACCTTCTGATCAGCAAGCCCTAGGCTCAGTGGTTTAGACCACAGTGCCACCCGCGTCCCTACACAATTCAAATATGAAGGACAACTTTTCTAAAGTTTAGCATCCATTTAGTGACCCCATCATAGTAAAGGAATGAGATTGGCAGCTGTCGTCTCCTCATGGATTCCTTTGGGAAAACATTCTAAGAGAATATGTTTATGAAGGACAATTGTATGGAATTAAAAGTCATCAATGTTTTTTAATACTGTACTCCTGCTGCCTCCTCTCTCCTCATGTCTGTCTATTCCATTCCTTTCCCTTTCTTGCTTTGATCTCTTCCCTTTCTCTTTCTTATTTATTGTTGCTGCTTTTTGTGCATTAGAAAATTAAAATTAGAACAAAATTACAAAAAAATACATCAGTGCCCAATGACATCTTGACTTGGTGTCATATGAGAGCAATGTCACTGCCTGTTGTGCGTGAGGGGGAGCATTCTGCAGGTTGGGAGATACCCAAGGGATGAACCTTCCCTCGATCCTGGGCATCTCATGGCGCTCTTTCTCCTTCCCTGGGACACAGGTGAAAAGCGTCAACCTCTCCGAGGGGGAAGTGCTGTCTATCCGAGGCATGGATGATGACCAGCTGATAGTCCTGGCCAATCAGACACTCCTGGTGGAGGGCCAAGTCATACGCAGCCCCACCAATACCATCTCAGTCTTCTTCCGCACCTTCCAAGACGACGTGATTGGGACTTTCCAGCTGCATTATCAAGGTACAGGGGCTTTTTGTTAGGGGCAGAACATCTTCCCTGTCCCAGGGGGGCTGCCAAGGTGAGGAAGCCCTGGATTATGCAGCTACTGTGCATTTGGCGGCGGGGGGGGTGTCACCAACCTTTTTGAACTATTGGGGCACATTTCACATTTTGAGAGGATGCTGAGGGCACCAGTCACGAAATGGCTTCCATGAGGGGGATGTTGCATAAAATCACAGTCTGCTGATTTTCCTCCCTTGGCTTACAAAGGGAAGTCAGATCTCTCCTACTGATCCCGATTGTGGAGATGCAGTTGTCAAACACACAAGAGCCATGTTTTCACCAATGCCAACCCTAAAGCAAATTGTGGGCTGCCACCCTGTGTCTCCCCTTCATGGATCACTGCCTTGCCGTGGCGAAGGGGCTTGAATAACTCTGAGAAGCTATGAGCTATGTCGTGCAGGGCCACCCAAGATGGACAGGTCATAGTGGAGAGTTTTGACCAAATGTGATCCACCTGGAGCAGGAACCGGCAAGCCACTCCAGTATCCCTGCCAAGAAAACTCCATGGACAAAGACAACAGGCATATAAAAGTTATGACGCTGGAAGATGAGCCCCTCAGGTTGGAAGGTGTCCAACATGCTACTGAGGAAGAGTGGAGGGCAAGTACAAGTAGATCCAGAGCTGATGAAGCGGCTGGGCCAAAGCTGAAAGGACGTTCAGTTGCGGATATGCCTGGAAGCGAAAGGAAAGTCCAATGCTGTAAAGAGATATGAAAGGAACATTTTGTACAAAGATTACGATAATAAAAAACACGGAATATAATTAACATCTTGGAAAAGCTAGAAGTGAATATTAATACTAAGGCAGTTTTGATATTTGTGGACGCAGAGAAAGCCTTTGACAACATTTCTTGGAGTTTTATGAAGAACCTACAGGGGATGGGGGTGGGAGAAGGATTCGGGAATGGTATAGGTGCAATTTACTCTGAACAAAAGGCTAAGTTAATTGTTAATAACGAGGTTACGGAGGAATTTAAGATAGAAAAAGGAACACGACAAGGTTGCCCAATTTCTCCATTGCTCTTTATATCAGTCCTGGAGGTTTTGCTGAATATGATTAGAAGGGACCAGTTGTTTAAAGGTGTACAAGTCGGAGCTAAACAGTATAAACTGAGAGCATTTGCAGATGATTTAGTACTGACATTACAGGAGCCAGAATCTAGTACCAAAAGAGTTTTGGAACTGATTCAAGATTTTGGTCAGGTTGCAGGATTCAAATTGAATAAACTAAAAACAAAGGTTTTAGAGAAAAATTTAACAGTGATTGAAAGAGAGAGGTTTCAGAATGTGACAGGTTTAACAGTGGTTAAGAAAGTGAAATACCTGGGGATTAACATGACAGCTAAAAATGGGAACTTATTTAAAGACAATTACGAAAAATGCTGGTCGGAAGTGAAAAAAGATTTAGAAATTTGGTCAAACTTGAAGCTTTCACTGCTAGGCCGTATTGCTGCGATAAAGATGAATGTATTGCCAAGAATGTTATTTTTGTTTCAAACATTGCAAATTGTGGACAAAATGGATTGTTTCAAGAAGTGGCAGAGAGATATTTCTAGATTTGTCTGGCAGGGCAAGAAGCCCAGAATAAAATTTAAAATATTAACAGATGCAAAGGAAAGAGGTGGATTTGCCCTGCCAGACCTTAAACTTTATTATGAATCAGCAGCTTTCTGCTGGTTGAATCATAGAATAGAATCATAGAATCATAGAGTTGGAAGAGACCACAAGGGCCATCGAGTCCAACCCCCTGCCAAGCAGGAAACACCATCAGAGCACTCCTGACATATGGTTGTCAAGCCTCTGCTTAAAGACCTCCAAAGAAGGAGACTCCACCACACTCCTTGGCAGCAAATTCCACTGTCGAACAGCTCTTACTGTCAGGAAGTTCTTCCTAATGTTTAGGTGGAATCTTCTTTCTTGTAGTTTGGATCCATTGCTCCGTGTCCGCTTCTCTGGAGCAGCAGAAAACAACCTTTCTCCCTCCTCTATGTGACATCCTTTTATATATTTGAACATGGCTATCATATCACCCCTTAACCTCCTCTTCTCCAGGCTAAACATGCCCAGCTCCCTTAGCCGTTCCTCATAAGGCATCGTTTCCAGGCCTTTGACCATTTTGGTTGCCCTCCTCTGGACACGTTCCAGTTTGTCAGTGTCCTTCTTGAACTGTGGTGCCCAGAACTGGACACAGTACTCCAGGTGAGGTCTGACCAGAGCAGAATACAGTGGCACTATTACTTCCCTTGATCTAGATGCTATACTCCTATTGATGCAGCCCAGAATTGCATTGGCTTTTTTAGCTGCCGCGTCACACTGTTGGCTCATGTCAAGTTTGTGGTCAACCAAGACTCCTAGATCCTTTTCACATGTACTGCTCTCAAGCCAGGTGTCCCCCATCTTGTATTTGTGCCTCTCATTTTTTTTGCCCAAGTGCAATACTTTACATTTCTCCCTGTTAAAATTCATCTTGTTTGTTTTGGCCCAGTTCTCTAATCTGTCAAGGTCGTTTTGAAGTGTGATCCTGTCCTCTGGGGTGTTAGCCACCCCTCCCAGTTTGGTGTCATCTGCAAATTTGATCAGGATGCCCTTGAGTCCATCATCCAAGTCATTGATAAAGATGTTGAATAAGACTGGGCCCAAGACAGAACCCTGTGGCACCCCACTAGTCACTCTTCTCCAGGATGAAGAGGAACCATTGATGAGCACCCTTTGGGTTCGGTCAGTCAGCCAGTTACAAATCCACTGAGTGGTAGCATAGTCAAGTCCGCATTTTACCAGCTTCTTTACAAGAATATCATGGGGCACCTTGTCAAATGCCTTGCTGAAATCAAGGTAGGCTACATCCACTGCGTTCCCTTCATCTACCAGGCTGGTAATTCTGTCAAAAAACGAGATCAGGTTAGTCTGACATGACTTATTTTTCAGAAATCCATGCTGACTATTGGTGATCACAGCATTCCTTTCTAGGTGCTCACAGACTGTTTGCTTAATGATCTGCTCCAGAATCTTCCCTGGTATTGATGTCAGACTGACTGGGCGGTAATTATTTGGGTCCTCTCTTTTCCCCTTTTTGAAAATAGGGACAACATTTGCCCTCCTCCAGTCTGCCGGGACTTCGCCTGTTCTCCAGGAATTCTCAAAGATGACTGCCAGTGGTTCTGAGATCACACCTGCCAGTTCTTTTAATACTCTTGGATGCAGTTCATCTGGCCCTGGAGACTTGAATACATCTAAACTAGCCAAGTATTCTTGTACTATCTCCTTAGTTATTCTGGGCTGTTTCCTCTGCTGAATCATTTGCTCCAAATTCTTCAGGTCGGGCATTGTTTTCTTTATCGGAGAAGACTGAGGCAAAGAAGGCATTGAGGAGTTCAGCCCTTTCTGTGTCCCCTGTTTGCATTTCACCATCTTCTCCTCTGAATGTCCCCACTGTTTCTTTCTTCTTCCTTTTGCTACGGACATACCCATAAAAGCCTTTTTTGTTGCTTTTAACCTCTCTAGCAAGCCTGAGTTCATTCTGTGCTTTAGCTTTTCTGACTTTGTGTCTACACGTGCTGGCTATTTGTTTGAATTCCTCTTTGGTTTTTTCTCCCCTTTTCCATTTTTTGTACACATCCTTTTTTAATCTTAACTCAGTTAAAAGTTCTTTAGATAGCCACCCTGGCTTCTTTAGGCACCTTCCATGTTTCCGTCTCATTGGTATTGCCTGAAGTTGTGCTTTTACTATCTCCCTCTTAACAAACTCCCAGCCATCATGAACTCCCTTTCCTTTTAGTATTACTGTCCATGGGATCTCACCCAGCACTTCCCTAAGTTTTATGAAGTCGGCTTTCTTAAAGTCAAGAAATTGAGTCCTAGTATGCTTGGCTGCTCCTTTCCGCTGTATAGTAAACTTCAGAAGAGCATGATCACTCGCGCCTAATGATCCTTCCACTTCTACCCCACTAACCAGGTCATCAACATTGGTTAGGACCAGATCTAAAATGGCTGTTCTTCTTGTTGCTTCTCCCACTTTCTGGACAATGAAGTTGTCTGCAAGTCCAGTGAGGAATCTGTTTGACTTTATGCTCTTGGCTGAGTTTGACATCCAACAAATATCCGGGTAATTGAAGTCCCCCATTACTACTATCTCCCTTCCTTTTGCATGCTTGGCCATCTGTTCTAGGAAGGCATCATCTATGTCCTCCGTTTGGCTTGGGGATCTATAGTAAACTCCCACAATGAGGTCACTGTTATTCTTCTCTCCCTTAATTTTGACCCAAATGCTCTCACTTTGGCTTTGAGGTTCTAAATCTTGGATCTCTTCACAGGTATACACATCCCTGACATATAACGCCACTCCTCCTCCTTTCTTGTCTGGTCTGTTTCTCTGAAATAGATTGTATCCCTCCATTATTACATTCCAATCGTGGGACTTATCCCACCAGGTTTCAGTGATGCCTATTATGTCATATTTAGTTTGCTGTACCAAGAGCTCAAGCTCATCTTGTTTATTTCCCATGCTTTGCGCATTAGTGTACAGACATTGAAGTCCATTAATCATTCCCCCGTGTCTCTTATTTAAGGATTTTTTCCTCCCACCACTAGGTCTGTGTGCTGTTTGCTCCATTTGGTCTATAACATTTGGATGATCATCTTCATCAATTGATAGACTCCTACCTTCAGGAGCACTGTCTCCCTCCCCCACATTAGTCAGTTTAAAGCCCTCCTGATGAGGTTTCTGAGATTTTTGGCAAAAACATTCCTCCCAACCGTTGTGAGGTGCAGCCCATCGCTTGCCAGAAGTCCATCTTTAAGAAACTGCAGTCCGTGATCTAAGAATCCAAACCGTTCCTGTTTACACCATTTGCGAAGCCAGTTGTTCCCTTCCACTATTTTTCCCTCTCTCCCTGGGCCACGTCGTTCAACTGGGAGGACAGATGAGATGACAATTTGTGCATTTAATTGCTTCAATTTCCTGCCCAGAGCCTCGTAGTCTCTTTTGATCCTCTGGAGGCTATTGCTTGCAGTGTCATTGGTTCCCACATGAACCAAGAGGAAGGGGTATTTGTCAGTGGGTTTTATGATTCCTTGCAGTCGTTCAGTTACATCTTGGATCTTAGCCCCGGGGAGACAGCACACTTCCCGAGACATCTTGTCAGGCCCACAGATCACTGCTTCTGTTCCCCTCAGTAGGGAATCCCCTATCACCACTACACGCCTCCTCTTAGGTCTGGTCGGGGTTCTTCCGTGAGCTGTCCGTTCCAAGGTCGCCTGCACATTCCCTGAGGACTGACTTTGCTGCTCGTCTTCATATACCTGATCGACTGTAATGAGGGAGAGATCCTCAAATGGAGTCTGTTCTTCATCTTCCATGCTAGGGGAGAGGACTTCAAAGCGATTGTGTATTTCTAAACAATCAGAGCGAACCCTGGGCCTCCTACTTCTTTGAGTCACGTTTCTCCATATATCTGGCTCCTGTGTTGGTGAACTAGCCTCCTTCTCAGGGGAGTCCCCTGTCTCCTCCTTGGTGGAGACGGTGTGCTCTGTTGCTTCCAAGAAGAGCTCCAGCTCTCTAATTCTTTGGAGCGTAGCTACACGTTCTTCCAGTTGCTGGACTTTGTCTTGTAAGAGGGCAATCAACATGCAATTGCTGCAAGTAAAGCTGCCTGCAACCTTTGGCAAGATGGCAAACATTGCGCAGGAATCGCAGGCTACTGCAGCTGTTCCCTCACCCTCCATCTTGAGAACATGTCGTTGGGGGTGACTACAGCGGTCCTCCATCATTAAAAGCGTGAAGACTCCCCCCCCAAAAAACCTAGGTCTCCGCCAACAAACGTGTGAGATTAGCTCCCCTAAATCTAAAAGATGGATCAAACTGCGCACAGCTAATCACCTGACTCAACAGAAACCCTGCCCCCTCTGACCTTTGCACAGGGAGAGCAGCTAATCAGCCACAAATAAACACACACACGAGAAAACCCTTTTGCTCCTCCTTCAGCCGCTGCCCTGCAAGCTCTGATAAGCTCCTCCCACAGCTAATCACCTGACTCAACAGAAACCCTGCCCCCTCTGACCTTTGCACAGGGAGAGCAGCTAATCAGCCACAAGTAACACACACAAGAAAACCCTTTTTTTGCACCTTCTTCAGCTGCTGCCCTGCAAGCTCTGATAAGCTCCTCCCACAGCTAATCACCTACCTCAACAGAATACGATAATAAAAAACAAAAGTGGAAAGGACCTAACAGAAGCAGAAGACATCAAGAAGAGGTGGCAAGGAGGAGTTATACCAGAAAGATATGGATGTCTCTTATACCCCAGGTAGTGTGGCTGCTGACCTTGAGCCAGACATCATGGAGAGTGAAGTCAAATGGGCCTTAGAAAGCACTGCTAATAACAAGGCCAGTGGAAGTGATGATATTCCAGCTGAACTATTTAAAATTTTAAATGATGATGCTGTTAAGGTGCTACACCTAGTATGCCAGCAAGTTTGGAAAACTCAGCAGTGGTCAGAGGATTGGAGAAGATCAGTCTACATCCCAATCCCAAAGAAGGGCAGTGCCAAAGAATGCTCCAACTACCGCACAATTGCATTCATTTCACACGCTAGCAAAGTTATGCTTAAAATTCTACAAGGCAGGTTTAAGCAGTATGTGGACCGAGAACTCCCAGAAGTGCAAGCTGGATTTCGAAGGGGCAGAGGAACCAGAGACCAAATTGCAAACATGCGCTGGATTATGGAGAAAGCTAGAGAGTTCCAGAAAGACATCTACTTCTGCTTCATTGACTATGCAAAAGCCTTTGACTGTGTCGACCACAGCAAACTATGGCAAGTTCTTAAAGAAATGGGAGTGCCTGATCACCTCATCTGTCTCCTGAGAAATCTCTATGTGGGACAAGAAGCTACAGTTAGAACTGGATATGGAACAACTGATTGGTTCAAAATTGGGAAAAGAGTACGACAAGGCTGGATATTGTCTCCCTGCTTATTTAACTTATATGCAGAATTCATCATGCGAAAGGCTGGGCTGGATGAATCCCTAGCCGGAATTAAGATTGCCGGAAGAAATATCAACAGCCTCAGATATGCTGATGACACAATCATGATGGCAGAAAATGAGGAGGAGTTAAGAAGCTCTTAATGAGGGTGAGAGAGATTGGAGGAGAGTCAGTGAGCAGCAGTGGGCTCCCTCCACCCCCTGCCCCCCCCCCCGGGGTATGCCCACCACTGTAGAGACATATTTTAAAAGCAGGTAGTGGAGGGAAAGAATGAAAGCTCAGAGTCCTGGGCACCTGCAGTTACTATGATGTAACCCATAATATGATGAGCAGCATAACTAATGTAATGGCTTTCTGAAAAGTGTGGTCTTCACCATCGGAGAGCTAGCCTGCTGGAAACCAACAGATCCTTCTCTGAATCAGTTCAACTCTTCTTCAGCAGCCCCCAAAGGATGTCAGATTGAAGTAATCTTTAATTGATTTATTCTCCCACATTAATACCCTCCCCAATAACCCATATCAACCCCCAGTTTTCCCCAAATTCCCCCAGAAATATTTGGGGCATTCAGAAAAAGGGGAGCTTTTAATTAGGATTTTAATGCCTAACACCTGATAAGCAAGGAATCCCAGAAGTTCTTTATGGAGGAACCTAAGAAGATAGCTTACACCAGTCAGACCACTAGTTCCTCTAAATTTGATCTTGTCCACTGAATAGCAGCAGCTCCAAAAATCTCTTTAAGGAGTGAATTTATTGCTGCTTCTGGCCCCTTAGAGCAGAGCTCCATCCACCTGCCTTTCTTTTTTCCCTCCCTGGCTCAAGAAGCAGAGAGCAGCTTCTGGCTTTTAGAAACAGGAGAGAGACATGTGGAGGCCAAGCACTAATATTTGTGGGCCTGGGAGTTGAAACTGATCATATGCAACTTGCTCATAAAAGTGATCTAGGAAGTGCTGGACAATGGGCTCCATAGGATGGTGAATGCTTCTCTCTGTGAGGGAGCCTTCGCAGACCTGCTGAAAGAGGTGGTTATTAAAGCGCTTATTAGAAAAACCATCTTTGGACCTGGCCAATATGGCCAATTATTGCCCAGTCTCAAATCTTCCATTCTTGGGCAAGGTAATTGAGTGGGTGGTTGCTGAACAACTCCAAGCATGCCTGGAGGATACAGAACATTTGGATTCCTTCCAATTGGGGTGCTGGTCTGATCCAGAAGGCTCTGCTTATGTTCTTATGTTCTCTCTTGCCATTGACCAGATGATATTCATGAGACAGGATCTCAACAACCACGGTCTTGCAAAACCCAGCAGCCTAGATATGCTACATCCCTTAGGGACATGGTAGGTGCTCCTCCAGGGCCTGATTGTAATCCCATTTGTTCACTTCCATTGCAGTATTTATGCTGAGCTGCAGCTTCCCACGGAGACCAGATTCTGGGGAAGTCACCGTCATGGGCCTGCATCCTGGTGGCACAGCACACTTCCACTGTCACCTGGGCTATGAGCTGGAAGGTCCAGAAGTTCTGACCTGCATTAATGCTTCCAAGCCGCACTGGAGCAGCCCAGAGCCCATCTGCTCAGGTATACAGAGCTGGGAGTGCAAGGATGTGGGGCGCCTGGTGCAAGATGTCACTGTCTGATGATCACACACACACACACACCCCCGTCTCTCTCCCCCCCCCCACCTGCATCTCTAGCACCCTGTGGAGGAACAGTGCACAACGCCATCATCGGACGCATCTTGGCCCCGACTCATTGGAGGAATCACACTGAGAGCATGCTGTGCACCTGGACCATCAGCACCCAGGGGGACCAGAAGCTCCACCTGCATTTTGAGAGGCTCCTGCTGGGAGACAAGCAAAGGTGAGGTCTCCTTACAGCTGCTGCTCCAGCTCAGTGAGTGCAGAGATCTCTGAGTTGTGGCCCAGCTGGCATCTGCTGGGGAAGGAGGGGAAACACATAAGATGTGCAAATCCACTGGGCCCCACTCCAGATCTGTCTGCAAAATTCTGCCCCCTCCCAATAATTCTGATTGATGAGTTATTCAGGGAAATTACCTTAACTGTTTATTTATTGACAACAAAAAAGGTGCAAACATAGCAAAGAAAAGAAATCAAAGAATCAGCAATTGAACCACCAACCTTCTGGTTAACAGCCAGACACACTGAACGATTACACCACAGGTCTGGGATGAGAAGAGAAAAGTAGGTTGGATTGTATTGGTGAAAATGTCTGACAAAACATGGTCTTCAAAATTGCCCCTGTGACAGAAGGGAAGGGAAGGCTGTTCACTCTCTTCCTTACATGACTGCCAGTCCTGGTAGCCTGGAAGCCGCATGTCCAGAGCCCAGTTCTCCTCCCAACCTCAGAACAATCCCGCTGGAATCGCCAAGCCTCAAGGAGCAGCACCAGTCAACAGAAGGCCTCCTGCAACACACAAGGCTGTTTAAGGAACTGACGCTTGTGTTTAAAGGAGCATTAGAAAATGCAGTCTGGTAATGAGCAATAAAGCAACTTTATGAGCTGTAGTGAAATCCAAGAGTAAAACATCTGTTTATGACTGCAGTAAACACATAGGTGGAGAGAGAGTTTCAGCTTGTATAATCCTTCTAAAATAATGGCTTCATGGAGGAGCAGGGGCAAGAGGAATGAGCAGGGTGGGACAATTCACCAAGAGGAAAATTATGGGATGGAGAGAGTCACAAAAGGGCTCACAGACAGTTGTTAATGGTAATCCCCTGCTCTTAGTTGTTGTTGGTTTTTTAAAAAAATGGAGGTGTGGAGGTGGGAGCTGAACCAAATGTGAACTAGAGAAACATAGAGAGCATTGGACTGAACAGAGGAGGCTGCTGTATACCAAGCCCGTCTATCAGGCCCACAAGCCCAAAATTGTCAACAGTGGCAGGCAGCAGCACCCCAGGGTTTTGGGAAGGGCTCTCGCACAACCGCTCCTGGAGATGGCCAGGGATTGACCTGGGGACCCTCTGCTTGCAAGGCAGACACTCTGCCACTGAGCTATGACGCTTCCCCACACACGACAAGAGTACACATTGCTGCTTACTCTGCAACCCCCAGACTCCCTCCACTGGTTTTTGAAGATATATACACACAAGGTTAACCACAATCCATATCTATCCTGTAGTTTCTTGAAAAATACAGCTGTTTGATGGGTTTCCCTTCAAATCAGCTCCCATCCAAATGGAAAACTTCACAGTTCAACGAGGTGTTTCCATTTGAGACAGCTGTTGCACATGCTCAGATGATTGCTTCATTAATAGAAGGGGTTGGGGGGGTGCAGGGCCAGGGAAACCAAACAGGTAATGTGTACTGGTTGAAGACATCCCTGCCTCCTCTTTGATGTGTCTGTGCAGGGATGCTATAGCTCTGCTGGATCTCATTGCTTTCATGTCTGCTGTCCCAGCACTTTGATCTTTCCTTTCATCATAATGTTATTATTGAGGGCACATGGCGCTGGGGGGAGGGGAGATTTTTAAAGGCAAGTCTAGGAAATATTCTTAAAGTTGCACCTAGGAGACTCCTTCTTCCCAAAGGCAAAAGAGGGACAATTCCCAGAAAGCAAGCAATTGCCTTAGGCAAGCTGGGACAGGTGGCAGCAGAGGATTCTGGGAGGGAGCCCTTGGACCTTCCGTCTGGCCTTCCTGACCCTGTGCCTGTCCCATCCCATCCCCCACACCCGCAGCTTACTGGTCTACAACGGAGACAGCAACCAGTCGGCCGTGCTCTACAACTCCCACCAGAGCGACAGCGTCCCCTTTGAGGGGGTGATCAGCGAGGGCACCACCTTACGCATCGACTTTGCCTCAGAGGACCCCAGCGCCATCCCTACGTTCAACATCCGCTTCGAAGGTGATTCCCTCCCCACTTGCGGTTCTGATGTTGATGGAAATGCAGCAGGGAGTCCCTTTCCAGTCCTGCTAATCACGATAGATTAAGGCAATTAATCCAGGCATTGATTGTAATGTCCCGGGCAAGAGCAGAGAGAGTTGGCCTCATTGGGCATCAGCAATTTTCACTGCAACACTTGCCAGGCACCGGGGAAACTGCTGGTTCGCCTGTCCAGTTATAAAGGGGACAAGGCTCAGTTGGTCTGGCAGTAAGGAAGGCCCCGCAGGGGTGAAGCCTGGGCCCCCACAAAATCTGGCTGAAACAACAACAGCCCACCACCCCAAAGCTGTCTTGTGGGCAGTTCCAGTGATCCTAGCTCAACAAGGATGCTATTGGGCTGGGTGGAAGAGGGCAACCAGCAGGACCAGAGGGCAGGGGCACTTTCCCTACCAGGAAAGAGAAGGAATGGACATCTGTGCTCTCCAGATGGGATTGGACGACAACTCCCTGCAGCCCGAACCAACATGGCCGGCAGGCACAAGCCGGAGGAGTTGGAGTCCAACCACATCTGGAAGGCCAGCTGTACTCCATGCCTACACGAGATCACTTGGGGTGGGAGGTGGTGGCCAGTGACGGTATGTGTGTGTTGAAGGGGGAGGCACATAGTGATGCTCTGGAACTCGCTCCCCCAGGAGGCAGGGATGGCTTCCAGCTTGGATGGCTTTAAAAGAGAATTATACTGCTGAATGGATACGGTGATCAGGGACTGCTAGCCAGGAGGGCTCTGCTCTGCCTCCACAGTCAGGCAGAAATGCTTCTGCATCGTGATTGCTGAAAACCACAGGAGGGGAGGGGCTCTTGTCCCTGGGTGCTGCTTTGGGGCATCCCATGGGTGACCAGGATGCTGGACTAGATGGGCCATTGGCCTGATCCAGCAGGCTCTTCTTACGTTCTTAGAGGCTAAGGCGGCTGTCTGTCGGGGAGAGCTGTAGTTGCAGATCCTACATTGAGCCAGAGAGGTGGGCTAGATAACCCCCAAAGTCCCACTTTTCTGTTGAAGTGTTGAGCATTTTGGACCATCAACCCTCTCGTTCCTGTAACATCAACCCGGAATGCATATGCATATCTACAGCTGGGTAGATGCAGGGGTGCAGAGACACAAGTTGGACATGGAAACCTCAGGAGATTGCCATGAAATGTGGTGTGAGTCAGGAAGAGGGGGGCATCATCCACTCTCGTAGTGGCAGCTCCTAATCTAGAATGTAGGGAACAACAGTTCTCCCCCCCCCCCAGGTATTCTGTGTGCAAAACTGAATGCAAAGAGTGGATCCCGTTGCAAGCTTGAAAAGCCAAATAAGATTATAAAAGACAAGTGCATTATCTAAAGCAGCTACATAGGCTGCTGTATCTCTTTGTCTCCAATCACATTGGTGGTGTCAGGGATTATTTTGAAATGGCCTTCCAGGCAGAGAAATCTCCTTGATTCCAGCTCCTCACCAGGGAATGAAGAGCAGATGGAGATCTGGCTGCTGGATCAGCCCAAAGCCATGGTCCCGGCAGTGGCCAAACAGGTGCCCCTGGAGAAGCCCACAACAAGACCTGAGGCAGGGCGGTGTTTCTGGGCAGTGTACAAGGAACTTTCAGGGGATGGGGAATCTGTGCTGGCTTTGCGTCAGGAGGGATTTTTTAAAGAAAAAAGACTCAGGGTTGCAGTCACGACTCTCTTTGCATCTTTGTCAGGCAATCCGCAGCCTGTGGCATGAAAATGTGTTCTTCTGCATTTGCGGATCTGTCTTGCTACACTCCACTGTCTTTGCACAATCTCCGTATCATCCCAGCTCAGTCCTTATTAATACACCGCTTGCCAACACAGCGTGTGATGTTACCGCTTGTTCTCCAGCAGGTATTTTGCAACCTGGAGCTGAAATACTCAAGGCAGATCAAACACTGCTGGATGCAAATGCTTTAGAAGGGAGAAAATGTTCTGGAGCTGCAAGGAAGGAGGCTTTGCTCAGAAACAGGGAACAAGTGAGATATAGAAACTGACCAGTAGAGCAGATTTAAGTCATCTTTTTTTATAAAAAAAAAATATCATTTGTTTGGGTAGAGGATGATGCTTTGTTCTTTGCTATGCTGTTCAGTTATGATTAAGATTGCATTTAGTCCTCTCATTATTCCTCCCTGCTCACACAAAAGGCATCCTGACAAAGCAAAGCCCTAAATCAATTAGAGTGACATGGATTCTCACATGCAAGCACCAGAAATGTGACATATCCCACAAGTATGAAAGGACAAATATTGTTTTAAACCTTTAGTGACAGCCAAATTCCCTTGCTTCATGCCAATCAGAGATAGCTGACAGAAAGAAGAGTTCTCAGAAAGGTGGTCTACGTTCATCCTTTGTTATTTGAACAAGCTGGACCTGCACATGGGTGTAGCCAAGGGGGGTAAATCAAGTAAATAAATAAAAATACTTAACTAACCAATCATACTGCAGAAAGCTTGTTTCTGCTCCCCTAACAAAAGTCCTGTCCCCAAACAAAAATCCTGGTTATGCCCCTGGACCTGCAGCAAGTGCAGATGTTCAGGATTCTCCGCCGCCCCGCCCCCCACCCCACCCCTGCTCTGGCTTTCTGCCCCTTCCCTGAATCAGCCTCCTGTGGACACTAATATGCACAGTCCTCACTGGGCTGTTTTGAAACCTTACCCTCCCCCGCCCCCACCAAATCTGCTGTCTTACTCTCAAATCTTTTTTTTTTTTTTACCTATGCAAACCTTGGGGCTGGTTCCAATTCCACTGATAGTTCCTTCTCATGTATGGATGGTGCAAAAAGTCATGGCGCTCTAAGACTGAAATTGGAAATACAGGGAATGGTGATAGCAAGCTACAAATCTAGGGACCAGGAAGTGACACCAGATTCCTCCAGTTTTTAACAGTCCAAAGCTGCCCCTCTTGCTAGGATGTGTCTTTCCAAGAAGGGGGGAATGCATGTGCTACTCTAAAACTAAATGTACACATTGGAGAATCTGTATGAGAGGGGAGACAGCAAAGCATCATGCCACACACAAGGACAGAGCACCCCAGGGAGGTCTTTCAAGATTCTACATTGCGGCTGCTTGGGGGGAGGTCTGGGGCTTTAATTCTTGATCTTCCTAAGAAGGTGAGGAAGAAACAGGCTTCCTTCCTTAACTGGGGACCTAAATCCTTTGCACAGTTGCAGTTCAAACCCTTTCTTCTGTTTTCTGCATCAGTCCCACCCAGCTCCCTTGATGAAAGCAACAAGGGAGATGTAGCTCTGAGGGATGGATGCTGTCTGTGGTCCCAGCGCTCACTCTTGGCCAGGCAGGCCTCTGGCTGAGCATCCCAGCTCTTCATTTTAATTAGGATGGAACAGAAAAAATAGCTCATTCCCCAGGGAAGTAAAGCTGGATCAGCCTCTTTCTGGGGAGATTTAAAGGGGAAGCAGTTCTCTCCAGCCCCCTCCGCCGCCAACACTTGCAAGGACTTCTGCTCTTTCAATCTGGCATGTCAAAATGCAGCCTAGCTGCTCATTACATGATCTCAAAAGAGAAACAGAAAGAAAGAAACCAGAGGGGCAAGAAGGAGCAAAGAGGGCAAAACAGCAATGAAAAGCAGGTGGGTGGGCAGTGGAGAAGACAGGCTCTAGAAACTTATCTCTTCTGGTAAACTGAGAACCACCTGCCAAGCCCCTCTCCTTCAGCCTCAGGCTCTGGCTCCATGTCACCCCCGCAAGAGGTGATAGGATAGAAGCCGATAAAATTATGCCTGGCCTGGAGAAGGTGGGCTGAGGAAAGTTTTTCTCCCTCTCAGATAACACTGGAACTCAGAGGATGCTTCTGAATGCCAGTTGATGGAAGTTTCATGAGGGGAGAGTGGCAGCTGTGCCCAGCTCCTGCTTTGGGGCACCCATAAAGGGCATCTGGTTGGCCCCTGTGAGAACAGGATGCTGGACTAGGTGGGCCCTTGGGCTGATCCACCAGGCTCTTCTCATGTTCTTACAAGTTCCTAGTCCTTCTTTGTTGTGCTTCCTGCCTCTCTGCCTCTCATTATTCCTCTTTTCCTCTTTCTCTCTGTCTAGAATACAGAAGGGAAGGCCTGATCCAATCAGAGGAGGGCCCAGTCTGGCAGAGGGAGGAGGTGGGGGGGTTGTGCATGCAAACAATGGCTGTCCTTGTGTTCCCCTTCAAGCTTTTGAGAAAGGTCACTGCTATGAGCCGTACATCCAGAATGGGAACTTCACCGCCTCTGATCCCACCTACAACCTTGGGACCATTGTGGAGTTCACCTGTGAACCTGGCCACTCTCTGGAGCAAGGACCAGCCATCATTGAGTGCATCAACATCAGGGAGCCCTACTGGAATGACACTGAGCCACTGTGCAGAGGTGAGAGGAAGGAGCGGGAAGACCTCCGCACTGCAGGGCTTCAACTCACCTGTTCTTGGGGGATGTTTTTTCACAAACGCATGCGCACACACAAGTCCTCTTTCTTTCTTTCTTTCTTTCTTTCTTTCTTTCTTTCTTTCTTTCTTTCTTTCTGTTGTTTTGTACCAGGATGAAAATGGGCATAACAATGGTTGCAGGGGGCCATTCACACAGGGGGTCCTTGCCTTTGTTATTTCTGCATGTTTGCTAGGCATATTTATAGCCTAGTCTTCATCACAGTAGATCTCAGGGTAGGGTACAATAATGAACATGTGATAAACTAAAAATGGCATAAAGTCAACTGAACAGCCAACATGGGTCAGCTAGCTGCCACTCTTGGGCCCCTTTCCCACCCACCAGAGCAGAAGGACCAACCACCAGGGTGGGCAGCTGCTGTGCAATATGTGTGTCATGTATAGATTCACCCTTCTCCTTACAAATTGCATAATAATAATAATGTACAAAACTACAGGGATTGGAGAGTTGGTGATATTATTTGTACCCTAGTAAATGTATCCATGGTTTTCCTTCTTCCCATTTTATCCTCATAACAACTCTATGAGGTAGGTAAGGCTGAGACTGGCTGAGAGGGCACTAGTACTCTGGTCTCCCAGGTCTCAGTCCAGCGCCACCTCTGCTTCTTGTGCTGCTCTCAGATGGCCTTTCTGTCCTTTGCCCAGAGCAAGCCACCCTCTGCTTCACTCACCTCACAGCAGCCTCCCGCCAAGGCCTGCCACTACCTTTTGGTTCCCCAGGAGCAGATGTCATCCTCAGCAGAGGCTGAGCAGACTCCATGTGCAACTCCTTAGCAAACAACAGCAGAGGCGGCTCAGATCTGGCCTTCCCAAGTGGCTCTGAGCTGCATCCTGGCCATTTAACGCTGGCCTCTCTTGATGTTACAGCAATGTGCGGAGGGGAGCTCTCCACCGGGGCAGGGGTGATCCTTTCCCCCAACTGGCCGGAGCCCTATGCCGAGGGCGAGGACTGTGTCTGGAGGGTGCACGTCGGAGAGGAGAAGCGCATTTTCCTGGACATCCAGTTGTGAGTAGTTTTCCTACTTGTTGGACTGAGTGCCTCTCTCAGCTGTGTGCATTGCTCCATTGAAGGGACTCATCATACAGGCTGACACACACACACAATATTTTGAAAAGTTGCTTGTTCACTATGCATTTGAACACTTCTTAAGAGATCATGACCAGATTTTGCTTGGTGGCTCTCAAGATCAAGGAGCAGGCTTGCATGTCTGTTTGGATATAACTGGATATCATTTTGAGTCAAAATGGCAGAATAGACCTTTCAAAGCTGCACTGATTTTAACCACTGCCCTTATCTTTTGAATATTTTTAAATACTTGCTTTTGACATGTTGATATTTTATATTATATTTTTGTAAACCACTTAGAGGCTTTTCCTACAGTTGAGCAATATATAAATATTGTTTAGTAAATAATAAAGTAAATTATCTCTAGCCAGTTCCTTGGTGAAAGTGCAGTTGGACTAGATAACCCCCAGGATCCCTTCTGACCTTACAGTTCTATATGATAAAGGCAAGCAGGCAAGGAAAGGAAAGGGATAAAGACTTTTTAATAACTAAGCAGACATTCTCTGTGATGCAGCAAAACCTGCTGCTCAGACCCTATAGAGCATCCTCCACACAATGGATGGGGATGCTCAGGCCCAGGCTACCTGACAGATGGCTTTGCCATATGCTGAGATCCTCAGGTGAGCACCTTCTCTCTCTGGTCCCATCTTGGTCCCATTCAAACCAGAGGCACAGCTGGGAATGACCCAGGGGAGCCCTTTCAGTGGCTGCTCCTGAATTGTGGATGGCCAGAGTCCAATTGTCAGTCAAGCAGGACATTTATTTAGGTGTTGCAAGGCCAGTGTAACACAACCTCAGCCAGCAAGGAGTTGAGAGGTGGCAACACAAATATAGCAAAGGCACAAACATGTATACACTTACAAGCAAAGGGAAGCAAAGCGGCAGTTCTATGGCAGGACTTCCATCTTCCAGCTTATACTGGTTTAATCACAAGGCATCACAACTTTCTTATCTTTCCCTCCTTCCTTTGCCCTCAATAGTCATAGCAACAGCTCCTGCATGTGTCTCATTCTGTCCTTCTCAGAAGCTTCTCCCACAATCACAACCTTCACTTTCCAACCTTCACTTGTTCAGCCTTTCTCACACACATTTCAATTTTTAATTCTATTTTTTCTATAATTTCTATGACACTAAAAACATTTAAAACCAGCTGAAAACATTTCAAAGCATCTCAAGCATCTAAGCACATTTAATGTTGAATGCTCACATGCTGTACATGCCACTGTCAGGATGCTGTCAACGATAAAGACAAGGAAAAGTTCCTTGCAGTCCTTTTTTATTTTAATCTTTACACAGAGAGGCTATGGACCCCAGCCTCTTGGATAATGGCGTTGTCCCAAGTGAATCTCCACCTCTCCTTCTTTCCCACTTCCTCATTGGTCATCGTCTCCTCTACAGGTGCTGCTATGTGCCCTCTGTCTTTGAGCTCTTTGCTCTCCTACTTTTAAGGCTCACAGGGTTCTTGTGATGGAGGGTCTGGAATGCTTTCTAATGACAGCGTGTCAGAAGGATGTGCATGCTCAGAGAGCCAGTGTGGTGTAGTGGTTAAGAGCGGTAGACTCGTAATGTGGTGAACTGGGTTCGCGTCTCCGCTCCTCCACCTGCAGCTGCTGGGTGACCTTGGGCTAGTCACACTTCTCTGAAGTCTCTCAGCCCCACTCACCTCACAGAGTGTTTGTTGTGGGGGAGGAAGGGAAAGGAGAATGTTAGCCGCTTTGAGACTCCTTAGGGTAGTGATAAAGCGGGATATCAAATCCAAACTCTTCTTCTTCTTCTTCTTCTTCTTCTTCTTCTTCTTCTTCTTCTTCTTCTTCTTCTTCTTCTTCTTCTTCCCTGTCTCTCCTGTGATTTCCCAGTTTCCCCCCTCATCTGCCTCTGAGCTTCTACCTCCTTCAAACCCCTGTTGTAAATCTACACTGTCCTCCTCTTCCTCTCCCCTGAAAGAGTCAGGATGGGGAGGCGGCCTCCACCACTCCTCCTCTGCCCAGTCCCTGACACAAACTGGCTCTCTATTAAATAAGATCAGCTGATGGGCAGGAGACCAGCCTGCAGGCTCAAGCCGAGATGTCCGGGACAGAGCTGTTGTCTCCCCTGCCCCCTCTTGCCAGGACCCCACTAATGAGTGAGTCCCCTAAGGCATCTGATTCTTCCCCTCCAGATATGAAAGCCTCCCTCCACACGTTGAGGGTGGAGAGACAGGGAGATGTCTGGCAATGGAGGATAAAGCAAGGGAGCAAGTCAGGGGCACAGAGAGATGGTTGTGATTAGCCAGTGAAGATCCAGGTGTAGATATCCTCTTAAGTCAGGAAACTGGGAGGCCTTGAGCAAATCTCTGGCTCTCAGTATAGACTTCCCTAGAGATGATGATTAAAAAAGGAATTATATGCATGCTGCCGTGATCTTTTGTGGGGGGGTGGCATAGGGGGAAGGGAGGGACAGGAAGATGAGGCAGCGGACAGCTTTGTTATACACTAGAAACTGATGGAGAAAACAAATGTCTCTGAGCATGCACAAAATGCTGCCGAGTAGCTACAGCAGGCAAATCACATCTGATAATAGGGCAGACAGCATAGATTCCTACGGAGCAGCTCCTCCCTCCGACTTGCTTGAAGGGATCAGAGAGAAATTCCCTTGGCAAAAACCGCTTTGCGGTTTAGGCAAGAGCTAGTTCCACAACTTTATTTACCACTTGAGCTCACTGAAGGCTTTGTAAATACCCGCCTTCCATTTATTTAAGCCTGATGGGTCTTTGTCTTGCAATAAATCCACACGCCTCCCATCTAACACCAAGCTGAGATTTCTGACTGCAGCATGGAGGCAAACAGACGGCCTCTGCACCAGGGCAGGGCTGGCAGACCAATGCTGGCACAGCTGCCTCCCTGGCCCAGAAGCAGACTCAGGGCATGGCGGGCAGCTCCCCCCCCCCAGGGCACTGAGCAGAAGAAGAGCATCATCATCCCTATATTGATACGAGTATCTACTGAGAAGATCCATAAAAAGCAACTGCACCAAAAGGAATTATTGTGAAAATAAGAAATATTTAGTGGGTGGTGCCCAACGTTGTCCTTGCTCAGGGTACCATATTACCAGAGTCTGGCCCTTCCTGGCCAGTCATTCCTCTTCCTCTGTCTAGGTACAGAGACAGACAAGCATATATGCCCTCCTATGCCCTCCTAACATTCAACAGAGAGGTAAATGGGTGAGGAAAGGCCCCAACCCCAGCCATGAAGCTCAACCCCTCTCTCTTGGTCTGGCCTACACTGCAGGCTTATTGGGAAGAAGAAATGGGGAAACAATTATGGACACTGCCCTGAAATTCATAGAGGAAGGATGGGATCTAACTATGATTCGAATGTTAAGAAATTAAACATGTAGCAGGAGACCCAATTTATTTGTGTATTTCTGAGCGAAGCTGCCATTTAGGAATATTCATTGGAAGACTGCATTTTATCCTTGGGAATTAGTTGCCAGGGGCCAAAGAGCAGCTGGAGATGAAGGCATCCCAGAGTTGGGAGGGCTCCAGATGGGGGCTTAGCATCACAAACAGGTCACATAGATAATTGCAAAAGAGCTGCCAGCAACTGCATGGGTTGTCTGTCTGTCTGTCTGTCTGTTTGTTTAATTGTTTGTTTTAAATAATGCATTGGATTTGTCATGGATAGGGAAAATCTGGATTAAGGGATTGGGGGTAGGGAATACAGGCTATCCTTTTTATACCAGTGATGTCATGTGGACACTGCGGAAAAGTTGCAAGTGTGAGCTGCAGGCTTTCCACCTCTGGAAGCAGCACCTGGAGATTTCAAGGGGACCAAAGGGGCTTCCCAGTTCAAGACTGCAGACCTTATGCTTATTTAACATGCAATATAGGGCCCATCCTCTGAACCAGCTGCTGCTTCTGAAGAGTCTGCAACTGCTACAACAGCCTGGCAACCACATCTAAATGGTGGCTGCCAGCTCCAGTCACAGGACAGCAGGTCCCCTCACCCCACCCCTGCAAGGGTGCCCTCTTGCGTTGCACTTCGGGCCAATGACATGCCAGTTGCTGGCTTTGGGGGTTTGGATTTCACAGCTCTGCAGGTCACAAACAGTAGTGGTTGGCAGGTGTGTGGGTAGCAGTAGCACGACCCTTTCTGGCTGACCTGTGATTTGAGAATAAGAAGAGGGCAATTTACATCCACCCTTGAAGGAAGCTTGAAGGAAGATCCCACCCACCCTTCCCTCTCCAAATCTTTGGTCAGCCTTCTAATCCAGGGTAGGTCCTTTTCCAGTCTGCAGTGTCTGTTCGTCATATTTGGAGCAGTCCTCAGAATCAGGTTTTTGCTCTCTGTGTGAACCCATTAAAGTTGTGCTCTCCTCAGCTCTTAGGAGAAAAGAATCATAGAATCATAGAGTTGGAATAGACCACAAGGGCCATCGAGTCCAACCCCCTGCCAAGCAGGAAACACCATCAGAGCACTCCTGACATATGGTTGTCAAGCCTCTGCTTAAAGACCTCCAAAGAAGGAGACTCCACCACACTCCTTGGCAGCAAATTCCACTGTCGAACAGCTCTTACTGTCAGGAAGTTCTTCCTAATGTTTAGGTGGAATCTTCTTTCTTGTAGTTTGGATCCATTGCTCCGTGTCCGCTTCTCTGGAGCAGCAGAAAACAGCCTTTCTCCCTCCTCTATGTGACATCCTTTTATATATTTGAACATGGCTATCATATCACCCCTTAACCTCCTCTTCTCCAGGCTAAACATGCCCAGCTCCCTTAGCCGTTCCTCATAAGACATCGTTTATAGTCATCTGCATATCTGAGGTTGTTGATATTTCTTCCGGCAATCTTAATTCCAGCTTGGGATTCATCCAGCCCAGCCTTTCGCATGATGTATTCTGCATATAAATTAAATAAGCAGGGAGACAAAATACAGCCTTGTCGTACTCCTTTCCCAATTTTGA